CCACTCAAGGTCCCTGGATCTGGCCCTCTCGGATTTCTCCACTGCCTCGTCACTTTAGGCCCACACCACCCAGAACTACTGGCCGCTGTGGGCTCCACAGTGGGAACTTCAGGCTCCCACATCCCTGTTGCTTTGTAAATCTTGCCTCCTCTGCTTGGGGCACCCCCACCCCTGTCCTCGTCACCTCCAACAAGTCTTCATGGATCCCTCCACTTTAGCTCTGCTAAAGCCATCGTGGGGCTCCCCCCAACGCCCTAGGCACACTGTCATCACCTCATCCATTATGTCACCAGCTGTTACACTTGTTAATTTCTTGGGGGCCTGGATTATTCATTTCTGGCTTTATAATAAGTCTGGCTGAATGTAGATGGTAATTAACATTTCTTAAGTGAATGTGGCTCGGAGGGGTTAGGCAAGAACCTCTTTTCTGCTGTGCGGCCCCTCCCTCCCATATCCCCATCTCTCCAGCCTCCCAGTGTCTGTCTCTCCAGGGACATCCCCAGAGAACCTGGACCTGAGCTCATGGTTGACCCTGTCCCTTCTACGTCACTGCTGGAGAGTCATAAGGCTGACATCCCCCACCTCATGGTGCAGACAGGGAAACTAACGCCCAGAGAGGTAGTGAGGCTTGGTGGTCCAGGTGGACTTGGGTTCAGGTCCTGGCATTATAGCTTTGGACAACCTAGTATACTTTTCTTTCTATCTTTTTTTTTTCTTTTAAATAACAGCTTTGTTGAGATATGATTCACATACCATCAAATCCTTCCTTTTAAAGTATACAATTCAGTGGTTTTTAGGATATTCACAGAGTTGTGCAGCCATCACAGTGTACCCTTCTGAGTCTCCGTTTCCTTATTGGTCAGCCTTGGGTTGTTGTGAGAAGTGGTTAAGAATACTGTCTGCACGCAGAGGGCTGGGCACAGTGCCTGGCCAATAGAAAGCCCTTGGCCAGCAGAGCAGTTATGGGGTCACCCAGCGAATCAGGGGTGAAGCTGATGTTGGCATGAGACCCAGCTCCCCAGCAGGCCTTTCCTCACCTCCCCTGCCCGTGGCGGCTTCTGGGCAGTGATTTGAGGAAGGCTGTGGGGCAGGTGGGGTTGGGGGGAGAAGGCAGTGATTGCACTTGTTTAAAAAGCCTTGAGTTGGCTAATAATTGAGTCAGCCACAACCATTCTTACTAGCTAAGCCAGTGATTCTTGAAGTGTGGTCCCCGGAGGAGCAGGATTGGTGTCATCGGAGAACTTTGTAGAGATGCAGATTCTCAGGCTCTACTTTATACTTACTGAATGAGACGCCCTAGGAGTGGGGTCCAGAAACCAGTATTTTAACAAGCCCTCCAGGTGATTCTGGCACCCGCTGTAGTTTGAGAACCACGGTCCTAAGCAAACCATTCACATGTTCCTTGCTACCCTCCTGAATGAGGGGGACAGCATAGAATGGCTGGGGATGGGGAGGGTTGTGATAAGTCTCGTAATAAGCCCCAGCCAAGCAGAGCCCACCAGGCAGCACCCCCTTCTCCCGCTCTGCCTCCTTGGCTGGGCAAAAGAGAACATGGGCCCCACCCTGCAGCCAGACATGATGGGCAAAGATGCTCCAGAAGGTAGCTGCCAGTCTGGCCCCTCTGCTGGGGCGGTTCTAGAGGGCCCAAGCCAGCCAGCTCCTGTGTACCATCTATACTTATACAGTTGGAGAAACTGAGGCCCCAGAGGGGACCAGAGATGATCCTCAGACAGTCCTTCCTTGTTACGTGGATGAAGTCACACTCTGGTTCTGGCAGACACAACCAGACCCCAGCTCAGGGCTCCTTCGCCCTGTCTTCTCCATCTCTAAGCCCAGACATTGGTCTCCTTCCTGCTGCCCCAAGAGTGGGTGTGAGGACCCCTCAGGAAGGCCAAGGCAGCTTGGGGGTCTACCGGAGCTGTGGTTCTAGCCCCAGCTCTGCCACTGATTCACTGTGTGATCTTGACAGGTCTGTCCCTCCCTGGGCCCCATTCCTCACCTGGAAGATAAAGATAATTATGCAGGTGCCTGGGACACCAGATGTTCTCCATCAGACCAAGTGTATCTGTTCGACTGTGTTGAGCATCTAGGTGAGGAGACTCCCGGCCAGTGCAGGAAGGCAGTGGGAGGGGCTTTTTCAACAGCGTCCACCAAATGGAGCTGTCGAGATCAGAGACCTGCCTTCTCCCTTCTCAGGGAGGATGCTGGGGAGCCTGACGAGTCACGGATGGATGTGCTTAGAGCTGTGAGATCCTCCTCAGTGGGTACAAACTGTGGGCTTCTGCGACGTGGTGTTTTGATGTCTGTTTAATGTGAATTCCTGCTATTCATTTCCTCAGTCTTTCAAAGATGCTATGAAAAAATAAATAAATAAGCAAGATAAGGAGAGAGAGAGGGGAGATAGGCCATTATTTTGGAGAGGGGGTGGTTGGGGAAGTCCTCTCCAAGGAAGTGATGTTTGAACAGAGACCTGGATGAGCAAGGGAGCAATAAACAAGCAGAGGAAACAGCAAAGCAAGTGCAAGCTGGGACATACGTTTGGTGTGCTCCAGGAAGGGCAAGGAGGTCAGAATGGCTAGAGCACGGTGATGGAGGGGAGGTGTGAGAGGGGAGATCATCAAGTTCAAGAGGTGAGGGTGGGACCCAGATCTCGCAGGGCTGTGCTGGACACGACACGCTGAGACATTTGACTTTCGCTCTCTAAGAGTCATGGGGAGTTGTGAACAGAGTGATGGTTTCCAGCTCTGCATTGTAGGAAGATCGGCCCAGCGGCTCTGAAGAGAGGGGCTTACAGCAGGGAGACCCATCGGGGCGAGACGGTGGCGGCTTAGTCAGGGTGGTGAGCCGTGGTGTGTCCACGGATATATTCTGAAGGTAGAGCCAATCAAGATTGGCCTGCAGCCCTTCTCAGAGGACGGGGCTGGATGGGATGGCCTCGGGGAGGACACTTCTGCCCCTGAGCAGTGTGTCAGCCGCAGTCCCTCTCCGTGGACATGGCTGCTGCGTTTTCTGTGGTTAATTATTGAACACAAGGAGCTGGTGCTCTCCCCTCCTCTCCCCTGCCTTAGGTCTTTGCTGATTCAGCTCTTGCTGGACCTGGCCAAGGAGGCCTCCTCCTCACGCATTCATTCAAAACTCTATACCCACGTCTGCCACCTACCTCCTCCACCGGGGGGCCTGTGCTGGGATGCAGCCCTAAACCTGCCCTCCAGGAAGGCTGGGAGCCCCTGGCCAAGGCGGTGTAAGCAGGCCAGGGTGGAACCTGCCCTTTCCGTGTCTTCCCTCCCGTCAGCCCCCATTTTACAGATGAGGAGGCTGGCTCAGAGAAGGTAGGTGACTTTCCCAGGGCCACGCACACACAGCAGGACCAGGATTCAAACCCAGGTGTCTCTGACTCCAAGCCCATGCCCCTGCCAACATGAACAGAAAAAAGCCATGTAGATGAAACTACTCTGTATGATACCATAATGGTGGATACATGACCTGATACATTTGTCCAAACCCATAGAATGTACAATATCAAGAGTGAACCCTAATAGAAACTGTGGCCTCTGGGGAATAATGATGTGTCAATCTATGTTCATTGTTGTAACAAATACACCGCTCGTGGAGAGCATTGCAAAAAAAAAAAAAAAAAGCCATGTAGAAAGTGACTTGGGACACATACAGGGAGGCAAGCCTTGGGAGGGGAGCTCTGAAGGGGGAGCAGGGGGATGGGGGGCATCCCAGCAGGCTCTCCAGAGCTGGGAGCGTCTGTGAGAGGGAAGGGTGCGCAGTCTCAGGGGCCAGCGAGGTGTTTTAGGCAGAAGGCAGTATCACTGGTCCCGGGTGGGGAGACGGGGAACATCTGCGGAAGGCCGTGGGTCAGCGCACAAGGGATGCATTTCCAGAGAAGCCCGTTTCCCGAGGAGTCTCTTCCAGGACACGTACATGTCCAGCACACCCCCCGTCCCAAAGAGGAGCACTTCCGGGAGTCCAGCCTCTTTCCCTTTGCTGCATCTGCAGCCTGCGCCTCTTGTTCTGTCCTCCCTCACGTATTCACATACTCCCGAGGCCACCAGCTTCTCAACTCACGCCCTTTCCTTTCTTCCCATCCCCTGAGAACTTCAGAAACCCCGGCTCTAATTTCATCTCTGTCTTGGACAGACTGGATGACCTTGGGCCAATGCCTCTCTCTTTCTGGGTCTCAGTTTCCCGGTGAGCGCAGTTGAGGGTGAGGGAAGTGTTGCATGAGTTGGGTTCTAAAGTTCCTTCCATTTCTAAACATCTGGTGCTGGGCCACTCAGTGGCTTCCCACTGTCCTCAGGGGAGTCCCAGGCCTCGATGGCATGGCTTCACGCTGCCTCATCCCCCTCCCTCCACCCTCTCTCCCTCTGCATCCTTCCCTCCGTGTCCCCGACCTACCCCCCCTTCCTTCCATAGCTGCTCATTATTTAATTCCATAGGAGCTCACAAAGGCAGAGGCTGTTACCCCCATTCTGCAGAAGAAGCCACACGCCTGCCACCTGGGAGTTCATAGAGAAGGGGGCTCCCTCCCTCAGCCTCTGACCTCCCCTGCCCCCTGCCTGACCTCTGGGGCACTTCTCTCAAGACAACCTCAACACCCAGCCAGGGGCTAGGGCCACCACTTATGAGTGGCTGAGCCTGGAGGCATTTCCTGCCTGAAGGAACCTGAGCTGGCTTGTCCCCGCTGCCAGCCCAGACAGCCCTGCCTCTCACAGCTGTGTGACCCCCTCTCTGAGCTGCAGCCTCCATCAAGGGCAACGGAGAGGGTTGAAAGGTGTCTGTGAGCTCAGCAGCCCAGAGCTTGGGGGCCTCTCTCTTTGGTGTACAGCACAGAGCCACAACTCCAGTCAACTCTCATTCTGATTCTGCTTTCCAGATAATTCTTCCCAAATAATGCTTCCCTCCTCCTCTGACTCTGTAGCCTCCTGTCAAAGGCTCCTCGGCTGTCCTGTCCATCCAGCAGTCTAACCCTCTCCTTTGTGCTGCTGTTGCAGATTTTTGCTGGTCTTCAGCTGCCTGGTGCTGTCCGTGCTGTCCACTATTCAGGAGCACCAGGAACTTGCCAACGAGTGTCTCCTCATCTTGGTGAGTGCCGGAGTCCCCGGCTGAGGGAGGCTATGTAGTGTGCAGAGAGGCTTCTCAAACCATGGCTCAGAGAGCCACTTGCTGTGCTGTGTTCCTTGAGCTGGTGGCTGTCCCTCTCTGGGCTTCATCCCCTGCTTTTTGGCAGGCATTGGGGGGACCTCCTGCCTCTATGTCAGGGCTTATGGTGGGCCCAGAGAAGAGGCGAGTAGGCCCCACTCCTTCTCAGGACAAAACCCGCTAACTCCAGCCCTAGTGTGATGGGTTGGTTTTATTCCTTAAACAGACACACCTCGGAGGGGGACAGCTGACGGACAGCCACCCTTGATGTGACTCAGTCTGGCTTCCAGAGTCTGGGGTGGCTGGAATGGGGAGGGCGGGGTGAAGAGAAAAACCCAGACAGCTCATGGGGACAGGAAGGGGACGACAGACTTGAGTGTTCAGTCTCTTTGGAAGACACGGAAGGGGCCACCTTCCTTCTGGAATCCTCCTTAGATCCATGGAGGTGTAAGAACCTCCAGGAGAGGAGCTCTGAGGAAATCCGAGCAACCCTAAGCCCGGGACTCAGGGCTGGGCCGGTGCTGTGGGCCCTGGGCCCTGGTCCTGGAGAGGAGGACCAGCACTCAGGCCGCTGCCCCACAGGAGTTCGTGATGATCGTGGTGTTTGGCCTGGAGTACATCATCCGGGTCTGGTCCGCTGGATGCTGCTGCCGCTACCGAGGATGGCAGGGCCGCCTCCGCTTTGCCAGAAAACCCTTCTGTGTCATCGGTAAGAAGGCATGCCCTGCCCGCACCTGACTCTTGACCCCAAGCCCCAGGGTTGACACCTGTACCCACCCCTGACCCAGCCCTCGGCTGCCTTCGCAGACTCAACGGACCCTCCTGGGGTCCGTCCCCCCACGGTCCTAGGAATCCCCGACCTCGGGTCCCGACGCGGGGTGGGCTGACTCCCCGGCGCCGGCCGTGACCTCGCCACCCCCGCCCCTGCAGACTTCATCGTGTTCGTGGCCTCGGTGGCCGTCATCGCCGCGGGCACGCAGGGCAACATCTTTGCCACGTCCGCGTTGCGCAGCATGCGCTTCCTGCAGATCCTGCGCATGGTGCGCATGGACCGGCGCGGCGGCACCTGGAAGCTGCTCGGCTCGGTGGTCTACGCGCACAGCAAGGTGCGGCCGGGCGCAGCCAGGGGTGGGGAAGACTAGGGACTCAGCGGGGGCGAGGCCAGAGGGGGCTGTCTCTGGGGCAGGGGCGGGACCTGCGGGGGACTCAAGACCAGGGCAGGAGGCGGGGCTTAAGGGGCGGGGCCAGGTCGGGGCCGAAGCTGGGCCGGGGCGAGGCCTGGGAATCAGGACAAGCCAGGAGGCAGGGTCTCAGGGGTAAACCTTGAGAGTCTTCCTTGGCAAGTCCCGGGTTCGGGTATCCACGCTCACAGCAGAGTGAGGGGGCGCTGGGGGACTAGATGTAGGGCGGGATCGAGGCCTGCAAGTGGGGCTTAGGGGGCGGGGCAAGGTGGGCTGGGGCGGACCCTCAGCGCGGACCTGGAAGGCCAAGGGCGGGGCTGGGGCGGACCCTGCGGTTGTAGGAGGGCCTGGCCGCTTCGGGAAGGCGGGCAGGGTCTCCTTGAAGGGAGGCGCTGAGACAGAAAGGCGGGCCGCGCCGCCGCCGGGGAACTCCGAGCGATGGGGTACTTTTATCCCCTCCGAGAACACGCCCCACAGGCTATTCTGGGAGGCCCCCACCTCGCCGCCTCTCCCGGGTGGGCGCAGCATCCCGGCTTCCTCACGCCCCTCCGCCTCAGCCCTCCCCGTGGTCTCCCCCGTTGCTGCCCGCAGGAGCTGATCACCGCCTGGTACATCGGGTTCCTGGTGCTCATCTTCGCCTCCTTCCTGGTCTATCTGGCCGAGAAGGACGCCAACTCCGACTTCTCCTCCTACGCCGACTCGCTCTGGTGGGGGACGGTGCGTGAGGGTCTGTGCAGAGCCGCCCTTCTCCCTGGGATCCTCCCGGGCCTGACCATCGTGACCCCGACTCAGGATTGAGCGGGTCTGTCCCTGTCTTCTCCGCTAGGGCTGGCACCCCCTGTGACAGCCCCACCCTGCCCCAGTGGATCCGCTTGAGTCCTCGTCTAGTTCCCCAGCTCAAGCCTTTGTGGCCTGTACCCCTTCCTCCTGACCGGCACGGGGAAGAGGGGAATCCATCTATGCCCCTAACTTGTCTCCTGTGACAAGTCCTTGTGACCAGTCCCTGTGGGCAACCACTGAGGCCCCTGCCCTCATGATCAGGCTCCCACCTGCCTGTGCCCCCAGCAAGCCCCTGTGGGTGGCCCCCGTAACTGGCTCTGCGGGTAACCGGTTTGTGTCCCCAGATTACACTGACGACCATCGGCTATGGTGACAAGACGCCCCACACATGGCTGGGCAGGGTCTTGGCTGCCGGCTTCGCCTTACTAGGCATCTCCTTCTTTGCCTTGCCTGCCGTGAGTCCCGCTCCACTTAGGATCGTCCGGCCTGGGGGAGAGGGGGGCTGGGGGCAGAGCTGTCTTAAGCTCCCATCCTGCATTTGCGGAGGTGGCGGGGGGGGGGGGGTGCACCTCAGATGTGCAGGGATGGGGGCTCCTTCACTGCCTTTTGTTGTCCCCACCACCACATTTCCCCAACCAGGCCTGTCCCCCTAGGGCATCCTTGGCTCCGGCTTTGCCCTGAAGGTGCAAGAGCAGCACCGGCAGAAGCACTTCGAGAAGCGGAGGATGCCAGCGGCCAACCTCATCCAGGTACAAGGCGCCCCAGAAGTCCCTGAACTGAACGGGTGTGTCAGCTCTGTATGCTGACCCATGTGTCCCAGCTTCACAGCTATGACTCCATTTGAAGCTCAGAGAGATGTGACTTTTTTGGGGTCACGTGCCAAGTCAGGGACAGAGCTGGGATGCTGACTCAGATGGTCAGAAACTTTGTCCTGCACCAAAGGCCCAGTTTAGGGCTGGCCAGAGCGGCCCCGGTGTCCAACTCTGGCCCCAGCTCTACAGGGCCTGAAATGGAGTGGAGCCTGGACAAGAAGCCATAGGCCTCTGCTGGGTGGAGACCCAGTCCTGCCGTCTGTCAGTTGTGCAGTTATCAGGAAGCCTGCCACACTCCCAACACCTTAATTCATTCCACAAACACTCACCCAAATGAATGTCGTAACTACAGACGGAGATAAACGCCTTGAAAGAAAGAAATGGTTCTCTCAAGAGCATTTAACAGGGGACCTGGCTTGATCTGACCTTGAAGGGGAACTCAGGGATGACTACTCTGGGAAAGTGACACTTGAGCTGAGAGCTGGAGGATGGGTAGAGTTAACTAGGTGAAGAGGTGAAGTGGGGAGAATTCAAGGTAAGGGAACAGCATGTGCAAAGGCCCTGTGGTGTGTTTGATGAACTGGAAGGAGGCTAGCGAGGCTGGCAGAAATCTCAAGGGGGAATGCATAGTAGATAGGTGGGCCAGGCCCAGACCTGGGGTCACAGAGAGGAGTTTAACATTTTCCTAAGAGCAATGAGGAACCACTGACAGGTCTGAAGCAAGGGGAATGGGTGACATGATCAGGTTTGTTTTTTGAAAAGTGGGGAATAGACTGGAGGGTAACCCAGATGTGTCAGGGAGACCAGATAAGAGGCTCTGGCAACAGTCTGGGAGAGGCGGGGTGCTGGGTGACTTGGACTAGGGTAGCAACAGATGAGATGAAAAGAGACGGGCAGATTCTGCATATTTAGGAGGTGAGATTGATGACGTGAGGAGTGAGGGAGAGGGAGGCGGTGGGGTGATTTCCAGGTTTCTGGCTTGCCCAACCGGATGGTTGATGGCCCTGCTCACTGGAGGGAGACCAGATTTGGAGCATGAAGAATCTGAGTTTGTGGAGCATGTGAGTCTGAGACCCCGAGTGGCCATGTTGAGGAGGCAGCTGGCTGTGCAGGTCTGCAGCTGAAAAGGGGAATGTGCTGGGCGGAGCTGGTCCGGGGCCATTGCCTGGAGACTGTAATGGAGCCCGGGGCAAGGCTGAGCTTGCCGGGTGGGGAGAGGAAAGAAGGAGAAGGGAGGACGGTCCAGAGCTGGGTCTTCAGGAAGCCTCAACATTCCGTGGCTGGGCGGGCAGAGTTAAGCGGGCCGAGGAGACAGAGAAGGAACGGCCAGAGGGGTGGGGAAAACCAGGAGCCTGTGGTCTCAGTTTCCCGTCCCTGCTGAGGCGTCTGACTGGGCGTGGCCTGAGGCAAGGGCTCTGAGGTTTTGAGACTCCTCCTTGGCGTCTCTCCAGTCGGGGCGTATGCAAGAGAAACCCCTGCAGGAAAGAGTTCAGGCAATACTGGCACAGCCCCCGAGCCCAAGTTTGACTGGCTGCCCTTATCTCTCCTCCCCAGGGTGGGACCCCCCTCCCCATTCCTGCTATCTCCAGCCACCAGCCCAGCCTTTCCCTCTCAGTATCCCCTGGGGCACAATGGCCACTGTCCCCTGGGAGCTGGCCTTCCAAGGGGCATTGTAGGGGCAGGCGGCTGGCACAGTCCGTGCCGAGAGACAGCTGGTATTGTGGTGCCCATAATTAATGAGACAGCTCTGGCAGCTGCTCTCCAGCCCAAGCCAGGGGCCTAGGCAAGCAGGAAGTAAAAATATGCCTGTCCTGGGAGGGTGCCTGGCCGGTGAGGTCAGCGCTGGGCAGTCCCTAAAAGACAGGAAGCACCCAAAGAAGGAGGGCATCCAGAGCCCAGTTCTGCTTTGTCCTGCCTTGCAGCTTCCCTGCCTCCCTGCCCTCACCGATTGCCCCACTCACAGTCCCTCCCTGGCTCTTCTCCTTATCTAGAGGGGGTGGGACAGTCCTTCCTCTTGTCTGACCCGCATCCCTCTTGCTGCAGAGGAAACCGTGCAAGTCCCTGGATGCTGAGGGGTTGGTAGGTGATGTTCTTCTCTTCTCCTCCTCAACGCCATGGGCAGTGACAGGCAGCTAGGAAAGATGGGGTGAGTTATTATTAGTAATAATAATTCACTCAGTCAGTATTCATTCCCCGTACATTTGCAGAACACCTACCATGTGCCAGAGGATACAGCAGTGACCAAGACACAGCTTATAGTCTAGGAGGAGAGAAAGACATTAGCCAAATGCACATGAGTTGCTATTTCTCAGCCATGGTAGGGGAGATAACAGGGGTGCTTAACAGGAGACCTCAGCATGAATACCTACTATGTGCCAGGCACTGCCCTTGGCATTTAATAGACATTCGCCCATTTAATCCTCACCACACCCTCTTATGTAAGTAGGATTATGTCCATTTTACAGATGAGGAAACTGAGCTCAGCAGCCTCACTTTGTTTGTCCACATAAATAAGGGGCAAAGGTGGCACTGGAAACCCATGTCTGCCCCAAGACAACACCCCAGCTCTTAACTCCCGCACTCTTAGGCCCCTGGCTCCAAAGCGGATCTGTTTGTCACCTTGGGAAAGTCATTTCTCTCTAGGCCTCCGTTTCTTTGGCTGACCCTGCCAGTGGCCGTGGAATTGGAACTGGCCTCTGCCTCCGGGTTCCCTTCGGCTCGCCCAAGGCCTGGGTCCGTTCAGGGGCGGAGGGCTGGTGGGGGGCTGAGAGGCCTCACTGATGCTTTGTACCCCGCTTCCTTCCCCCATACCGCCAGGCTGCGTGGCGCCTCTACTCCACCGACACGAGCCGGGCCTACCTGACGGCCACCTGGTACTACTATGACAGCATCCTCCCATCCTTCAGGTAGGCCCCACTGCAGGGGGAAGGGCAGGGGGCTGACAGCAATGCCCTTGAGGACAAGTGGCTGGGACTCCACCCTGGAGGATGGGAAAGGGGTGAGGGCTCCCAGGGGAGCATGTGAGGCTGGCTCTGCAGATCCTGTGTAACCCAGAGGCTGGAGTGTGCTCTCTCCCGCTTTGCTCTGCCCAGGGAAGGCGGTGCACACTGGACACAGGGCGCGGGGTGAGCCCTGGGTCCCGGAGTGCTGGCAGTCACATGCTCACCTAAAGTTGATGCCACTCTGGGCAGTGGCCCAGCCAGCTCTTCTCCCCTCCGTGTAAGTTGGGGGCAGTGTTAGTCTGCCAGCCTGGCATGTTGCAGCTGGCTAGAGAAAGTGTGGGATGGGCCAGAATGGCTGTGCCAGAGTTGGGTTCGAGGGCCCTCAGAGCACCCCTGTGCATGAATATGGACCTGCTTTTACTGTGCCAGGCAGCAGCCTTAGCGCCCAGAAGTGGGTTCGCCCCCCCTAGCCCAGGCCAGGGTAAGACCACACAGGGGGTGGCTCCACGTAGGGGATTATTAATAGCATCACCAAGGTTCTTGGGGCCAGGGGCCTGGCCAGGCCCTGGGGCAGGAATGAAGACCATGGAGCTCGGCTCAGTCTGCGGGCAGGCGGGCGCCGAGTGCACGGCCGGGCCAGGCTGCTGTGCTCAGCGCTTCTGCGGGAGCCTGTTTTTGCCTCATTTGTTCTCCGAGAGCAGCTGTTGGGTGAGCCCACTCTCCCCTGCACCTGGCTGCCCCCCTCCCTGCCCCCTCCCAGCCCCAGGGGCTCCCCAGGGGAGGAGTGGGAGAGAAGGGGCTGGGAAGAAGGGCTCCCAGAAGAGCACCGTTCCCCCCATCTCTCCACCTGGCAGAAGCAGGCACCCCCCTCACAGACAGAGAAACTGGTTAGATCAGAACAAGGCGCCCTTTGCAGGAGCAGCCCTAAGGACTCAAGGCCAGGCCTTGGGGAGTGGGGCAGGGGCTGGTTTGTTAGAAATATGATGTGTGGGAGGTGAGGGAAGACTTGGGGGTGGGTGGTCTTGGGTCCTCTGGTAAGAGGGACAGAGCCTGGTGTGGAGATGCTGGGTCTGCTGGGCTTCCTGCTCCCTGGACCTCCGTTTCCTCATCTGTGTGCTGAGAAGGCAGAGAGAGGAGGTATCCTCCTTGGGTTCTGGAAACAGGAAGTGGCCTGGAGAGTTTCGAAGAAGCTGAGCCCCAGATCTAGTTGGCAAGAACCCAGTGCTGCAGGGCAGAAAGCTGGGCTAGCCACCCTATCAAGGCTCCCTCCTCAGCCTCAGTTTCCCCCCTAAGATCCAGGGGGGTGAGGACTCCAGGGCTGCTGCTGGCCTCCAGGTGGGCACAGCTCCGCACCCAGGCACTCAGCGTGAGGAGCAGAGGAAGCTGGGTTGGAGTTGCCACTTGCCACCTTGTGGGGTGCCCTCGAGTGAAGCCCAGACTGCACAGCGATACTTGGCGTCCCTGAGGATTTCCCAGGAAGTCCTCAGAAATCAGAAAGGGAAGGAGGAATGCTAGTCTCTCCCACTCCCACCCTTGCCTGTTCCTGCCTGAGGTGTTTGCTGAGCACCTCTAGAGAGGCAGTGCCTGGCAGGATCCAAGCTCAGGAGCTCAGTGCCTACTGGGTGAGGGGAGTGTGCCAAGTCCCTGCCTGCTGCTGATGGCGCCCTCTCCTGCAGAGAGCTGGCCCTCTTGTTTGAGCACGTGCAACGGGCCCGCAATGGGGGCCTACGGCCCCTGGAGGTGCGGCGGGCGCCGGTACCCGACGGAGCGCCCTCCCGTTACCCGCCCGTTGCTACCTGCCACCGGCCGGGCAGCGCCTCCTTCTGCCCTGGGGAAAGGTAGGGGCCCCCAGGGCCGCCACCTCCTCTTGCTTCTCTTCCTCCTCTTCCATTCTCTGTCTCATCCTCTCTCAGACCTGCCTCCAGCCACTACGTGGGTGTCTGGGCCTGTTCTGGGGACCCCCAGGCCTTGTCATGAGGCCTGGGCAGTTGTCGTCGAATGGCCTGACAGGTACAGACTGAGAGCCTCTCTGGAGAGGCCAGGCTGGACTCACCTTTTTGTCACCTGGGCGAGTCGGGGAGATGTCCACACCACCCTTCCCCATCACCTCCTCCATTCATCCCATTGTCCTCTTTCTTTCTCTGTTTCCACGTCCCCCTCACTCTTCCACCCCTGCACCCCCATCCCTCCCGGGAAGCTGGAGAGAGGAGGAGGCCGCTGGCCACAGGTGCTTACGGCTCAGGTAATCGTGGGCATTCTGGGGTACAAGGGCAGGGAACCCCCTCCCCCGGCATGTTCCTCTAGAAGGGGCTTGACACTGAGCTTGCCTCTCGGGAACCACATTCCAGCTGGAAAGAGAGCTCTGTGACTAAGAACCGCTGTAGGACCTGCGTAAACTCATCCAATGACTAATGCTCTTGTCTTGTGCAACCCCGTCCACAGCTTTGCTAATCCCAGAGGGTGCTCCCGGGATTCTCCCACAATGCCTTTCTTCCTTACTGAGGGACATTTTGCTGCTCCCAACAGTTTCTTTCCCCTTGACCTGTCTCTCCTGGAGCTTTTGCATCTTGAAAGAAGAACAAAGGAAGAACAATGCTTACCTCCACATAAATGTTCATAAATAGTGGAATTTCAGGTGTATTTGGATAAGGGAAGCCCACTAACCACATATGAGAAAGTGGCTGTGCCTGTGGAGGTTTAGCTTTGAGGTCAAGGACTCAATGCCCCCTCACTCCTCCCCTGTCCCCTACCCATCTCTTTTTTTGGTCTCATCTTCACATATCATCCCTGAATCAGCCAGGTGGACATTTGGGCCTCGAGCCTCAGGTGTGATGCTGAGCCCCAGGCCCAGAACAAGGGAGGGGAGAAGAGGTGAGCCACTCAGTGATCAGAGGAGGAGGTGCAGTGAAAGCTTGCCTCTGCCACCTGATGCTGTGTGTCCTTGAGAAACTCATCAAGTCACTCTGAGCCTCTGGGTCCTGGGCAGAAAATTAGTGATGTTTAGGCTGATGAGGGGCTCTGGCTTCTCTGGGTTTCTGGGCTGAAAAGGCCTGGGGAACCTGGACAATGGGGTTTTGGTGCAGAGGATGCTGGGGACAGCATTCCTTCCCTGTTCTCAGGTGGGGCACTTCTGGCCAAGGGCTGGACAGGAAGTGTGGAGGAGGAGAGCCCCTCCAGGTCTGGGACTGGAGGGAGGGGAAGTGTGGATGACCAGGCCCAGCTGGGAGCTCCCTGGAAGAGTCCATGGTGCGGCCCCACTCAGATTCTCTGCCCCTGCCTGAAGGCCCTTCATTGTCACCCCCAGCCCCCTCCAACCATGGCTTCCAGGCAGAAACTCAGAGTTCTGGCATTTTAGCTACCCTGCCCAGGGCCTGTCTCCCCAGGCCTGAATAGGGAGGCTCTGGGAATGGAGATTACCGGAGCCCAGCACCTACCATCTCCCACAGCTGCTCTGGGTCTCTGGGCCCTCCGAGGCCTAGGAACAGATTACTGCTCAGAGCTTGGCCACCACTAACTTCCAGCCTTGGGTCCGTCTGCCCTGGATTGTCTGCATGGCTGGGGCTTGTGGTGATGGTGGTAGAGTGTCCCTTCTTCCCAGGGACCCCAGGGGGCTGACCCCAGGGGTGACTTCTAGGAGATCGGTCACCAGGCTCAGGCCAAATGGCCATATCCTTAATCTTGGCTGCCTGGGGCCCAGACAGGACCCCCCCACATACATACACATACATACCTGGTTGGTCATACCCTTAGTGGTGCTTGTGGAGGGACCCGGGCTGAGCACCTTCCCAGGACTACAGGAGCAGGATTTCCTGGGGAACGGCATTGTTAGGGCCAGCACCTCCTCTCTTTGGGGTTTTGCGACAAGGCTCTAAGCAGTGTTTCTCAAAGCAGGGTCCACTGACCTCTTGCATCAGCATCCCCTGGCATGTTGTTCAAAATGCAGATACCTGGACCTCTCCCCAAGCCCACAGGAGACTCCAGAGAGGAAGCACAGAATCCTGCACATTCAACATGCTCCCCAGGGGACCCTCATGCAAAACTTGAGAACCTGTGCATTCTGGGGATGTGGCCTGGAGGTTTGGGTGGGGCTCCTTCTCTCCCACCAGCCACAGGAGGCCGGCCCCATCCTGGCAGCTCCCCACGCTCTGCCCACCTGCCTTCTTCCCACTAACCTCTGTTTGTGTCTTGTTCTAACTTTCCAGCCAGATGTTTAGTAATAAACGGAGTTTCTTTCGGATCCACGCCAGCTGGAGACCGAGGTACCCCCTCGCCTGCTCCTCCTGTCCCCACTCCTCCTTGCCCCCCAAGTTCAGGGGCTGGAGAGGGGGACAGGATGGGCCTAGGACAAGGTGCATGTGCCTGCCGCCTGCCGTCTGCCTTGGGGCCCTGGTGAGCCCCTCGCCTTCCTGGGGATGCCTCTGCCAGGTCTAGGGGCATGAGACTGGCACCCAGTCTGCCAGGAGGGACACTTACATGAGGCTTGGGATGAGTTCTGGCTCTGCCGCTGACCCCTTGTACAATCTTGGCCAAATTGCTTCCCTTCTCTGGACCTCAGTTTCCCGTCTGTGGAATGGGCAGATTGAACTAGAGGCTCTCTGAGGGTCCTTCCCACTCTGACTTTAGCCAGGCCTTGGGTTTAGCTTCCTGGCTCCCCACTGCCCACCTAGGGACCCAGCAGATGCCTGAAGGAGCTGGCATTGGCACCTCTTTCGCTAACTCCAGAACTCAGCTCTTTTAGCTGCATCACCGCCCCATTCCTCGGTACCTGCCCTGCGCCAGGCCTGGCACTAGGGACACAGTGATGAATAAAACATGGTGCCTGGAGAGTTGCAAGGAGTCATTGCTGTTCGGTGTGATGAGCGCAACAAAAGGAGGAGGCAGAGGAGCTCTGGGGCCTGGGTCAGGCACTTCACCAGAGGCCCAAAAAGGAGTGAGCGTGAGTGAGGGCATGCCAAGGAAGTGGCGGGCACCAGGGTGAGGAGGGGAGAGAGCACAGCATGGCAGAGGAGCAGGCAGCCCAGCATGGCCAGATCTGAGAGCGGGAGGCCAGGAGCTGAGTTTGGGGGCAGCGCTGGCTCATGAAGAACCCAAAAGCCCTGCGTGAGCTTCGTCCTGTTGGCCTGCCTGGCAGCCTGGGCTCCTGGAGTCCTGGGTTTCCCAAAAGTGCCTCTGGAGCCTTGTGGATTGGGGCCCATGAGGCGGGGATGAGTGACAGAGCTCCTGGCTGCTCTACCAAGAGGCAGTGTCCCTTAGAAATGTGGGTTCTGGGTCTGAACTTGGCCACCCCTCCCTAGCTAGGGGACCTTGGGCATAAGCCCTCTTGCCTCAGTTTCCTCAGATGTAAAATGTGGATGGTAATAGGATCTGCTTTCGCTTCGACTGCACCTGGCTCAGAGGAGGCGCTGTGGAAATATTGGCCTCGTTTGATTTAGTATGTTGAGCAGTTAAGATCTTGCCTACTTTAAAAAACAGCTTGGAAACCGTGGATGTAGGAAATGGGAATACACTGAAGGGCTAAGCCGGCTCAGATCTGCCCCTCTGCAAGGTGACTTTGGTTCAGTGGGCGTGGTGGGCAGGAAGGGCAAGGCCAGGGGGGAGAGGCCAGTGCTGAGGCCGTTTCCACAGTCCTGAAGGGAGTGGCTGTACCCAGCACCTGAAGGGGGAGGCTGCCTCTCCTCCCGCCGCGACCTTGGCCTTCGGCAGGCAGATGATGGGTCCTTAAAGAAATTCCTTGTGGAGGTGAGTGCAGGGGTTGGGTCCAGCAGGACAGTCAGAAGGCAGCCTGTCCCATAGGACAGACCCAGTCAAGCCCACCCCATCTGCCTCCCAGGCACTGACAGACCCCTTAGATCAGAGTTTGTTGACCTCACACCGTTGACGTTTGGGTGGGATAATTCTTTGGTGTTGGGAGCTGTCCTATGCCTTGTAGGATGTTTACCAGCATCCCTGGCCTCTACCCACTAGGTGCCAGGAGCATCCCCCAGTGTGGCAACCAAAAATGTTTCCAGTATTGGCAAATGTCCCCTGGTGAGCAAAATCACCCTCAGTTGAGAACCACTGCCCTAGACCCGATCCTGATTGCTTGTCCCGGAGAAAGAACACCATCTCTGAAGTCAGAGAAAGCTGGGTTCCAGTGCTAACTCCATCCATGGGAGCTCTGTGACCCTGCGCATGTCATTTCCCCTCCTTCCACAGCTGTAAAATAGGGGTGGTAAATACAGAATCCACCACGTGCAGTGGCCGGGGAACTGAAAGGGATAAGGTGTCAGACAGGACCTTGTGTGTTCTAAGGAGCCTGGGGAGGGGAGGAGCTCTTTCGATGTCCACTGTGTGCCAGGTTTCTTTCCATTTTCTTTGAGCTTTTAGGCTCCAGAGAGGCTGACGTGAGCCATTCTCTGGGCCCTGCCCAAAGAGCTGGAAGCCAGGGCCACCCATGGGAAAATGGTGCCTTCTTAGATTGATGAGGAGCCCAGGGCCTGTGGCTGGCTGGAAAGTTACAGAACCCACAAACCTGGCTGGAAGCTCCTTCAACCATCACAGAATCAGAGCTGGAAAGGGACCTTTCAAGGCCTCTAGTGCAAGCCCCCAGACCCCTCCTCTGTAAGTGCTGCTGAATGCAAGCTTAGTCTTGCTTGCACACTTCTCGTGATGGGGAGGTCACTCCCTTTCCCAGAACGCCATTGGACTGATGTGCTGGGTGCAGAGATCTGGAGTTCCAGGCCCTTGGCTGAGTGTCAGGGCCTTCTCTACCCCCCTCTCTGCCTCTCCCCCTCGGAGGAGCGGAGGACAGAAGGAGGGGTTGCACGGGCCACGCGAGTGTGGGGCGGGGGGTGCCTGCCAGCATGAGGAGAGCCCGAAAGAATGGCTCTGCAGAGGAAAGTTTGGGAGAGCCAACCTCAAACTTCGGTTGGAATCTTTGGGATGTGTTGAGGGGATACTGGGCCAGCAAACAGCATGCTGGATTGTGGGGGCCACCCCTGACCTTCCCTTCAGATATCCTCAGGGCCCCAGTCCTTAACCTATAACCTCTCCCCTCTGGGCAGAGGCCCCTACCCCTAAGGATGGCCCTACATCCTGGCTGCCTTCCCAAAGTGCCCCTGGTTTCGAGATCTCCCTCACCCCAGCACCTTGGCTCTATACCCTGTACCCCATGCCCTGGGCATGGGGGACTCCGGCTCCCACCCAACCCTGAAACCAGAATCTGTCCTCTGCTCAACCCTTGATCTGAAAGTCCCTGAGGGTAGGTGACAGTCTCCTCCCCCAGTTCCTGCCCCACCTCAGGCCTCCTCTGAGACTGGCTTGTGCTCTCCTGAGCCAGGACCCTAGACATTTGGGGCGGAAGGGCCCCAAACCTGTCTGCAGAGGGCCCTCCGAGAGGCAAGCCACAGCCACAGCAGGGAGGCAGCGGTGACACCATAGGGCATGGGTTGGAATGTTTGCATAGGTCCTACTCGAACAGCGAAAACGTGGTCCTTGGACCTCTTGGACGCAGAGTTCCTCTGCCAGGTATTGGTTAACCAGGGCCTGGCCTGGGGACCCTGAGGCCTGCCCCCACCTGTCTTCCTCCAAGGTTTGGGGGATGTGGTGGGGAGCTGGGGTGTGGGAAGGGAACTCTGAGTGCGTGCACAGACATGCACGTATATGTTTACATGCACAGAGACATGTGTAGGTGCTCTCGAACTAGGGGCTCAGTAGGCAGTGGGGGTGTAGGGCCGGGAGGGGGGATCCACGGCCATGTGGGCAGGATGTCAGTCCAGGCAGGCAGAGCTCAGGCAGGGGAGACCACAGAACAGGTTATAGGCCTTCACTAGGAGGCTGGGCACCAGGTATGTCCTGGGCATACATGTGGGCTCAGCAGCAAGACCCACAAGGCCAAGGACCCTCAGCAGCCAGTACACTGCATTCCTCCAGGGGCACCATTTACACTGAAGTCTGTGTGATGGAGAACTTGGGAATTTTGCAGTGCACTGCCTTTACAGCTGTACCAGGTCCTAAAGCCCTGACCTGACCAGTGTGGGATCAGATAGCTCCAGCAGTGGGGAAAGGAGAAGAATATAAATTGATCCATGTACACACACTGGTACCTGTGTATCCACACTGTGCAAACACACATACCACCCCCCAACTCCACACAGCCTGTCCCTGTGTACGGTGAGGAGCTGGAGGCCCACCTCAGTGGCAGGGTGAGCTTCTCCATCTCTCAGCAGCCTGCCTGTGCCCAGAGTGGTCACCGCCTCCGCCTCCACCCACCCATGTGGGCCAGGCCAGCTCCCCTGTCCTCCTGTCTGTCTCTGACTCCCTTCTTGGGTTTCTCTCACTCCTTCCACTCTGACATCTGTCTCCTGTGCACCCCTTATCTGTCCGGGCAATGAGGGGTGGGAGGTGGGGGTGGGGAGAGGATCTGCTCAGACTGCCCTTAGTAGGGGTCAGGGCTGCCCTCGCCACACCCTCGTCCCATCCCAGGAAGTCTCCACTTGGTGGAGAAGCAGGACCCAGTAGCCACCCCTGAGTCCTAAGTCAGCCGTGTCCCCACTCCCGCCCACCCCGGCTCCCGCTAACTTGGCTCTCTTCCCGGCTGACCGGCCCTGCCAGCAGCCGGATGGGCATCAAAGACCGCATCCGGATGGGCAGCTCCCAGCGGCGGACGGGCCCCTCCAAGCAGCACCTGGCACCCCCGCCAATGCCCGCCTCCCCGAGCAGCGAGCAGGTGGGTGAGGGCACCAGCCCCACCAAGGTGCAGAAAAGCTGGAGCTTCAACGACCGCACCCGCTTCCGGGCGTCGCTGAGACTCAAACCCCGCACCTCTGCGGAGGGTGAGCCCTGGGGGTCTGGGCCCCGGACCCGCTGGGGGTGGCAGGGTGGGGACAGAGTCTGGGCTGGGGGTGGGAAGACTTGGTTCTAGTCCTAGCTCTGCAACTGATTGACCGTCTTTGAGCATTGGTCTTCCGGTCTGTGAAATGGGCCTCGCAATACCTGCTTGGCTGGGCTCTGGACTGTCTGCCAATCCAGCGAGAAGGCCGAGGGTGGCACTTGGTAGTGGTGAGGAGCACAGGCTTTGAATCCAGGCTTTGCTGTTTCTCTTGGGCAAGTAACCTAATCTCTCTGGGCCTCATTCCCCTCATCTGTAAAACGGGGATGGTAATAGTATCTACTTCATAAGATTGCTGTGAGGATTAAATGAGATTATCCCTGGAAGGTGACCAGAAGTTTCTGGAATATAGTAAGTCCTCAACAGAAGCCAGCTGCATTGCAAGTGTGCTTTGGAAGGAGCAGGAGTCATCCTTGCTGAGCCCTGACTGCACAGCCCCACACTGGATGATGTGGTTGACTTCTCCCAACGACCCTGGGAAGTAGGTTCTGTTTTTATGCCCATTTCACGGACGTGGGGACTGAGGTCTCTCAGCTAGTCAGTGGCAGTGCTGCTCTCCTCAACCAGGTCTGTCCAGCTCCACAGCCCACGCTCCCCCCCCTGCCCTCTTCACCCAGCCCAGCCTGCGGGCATGAGGCTGTGAACGTTGTGGGGCTCGCTGTTTAACCAGTTAGGTCACTTTTTTGAGTTCTGGCTCCGCACTTGCACAGTGACTTAGGTAAGGCACGTTTCTGTGCCTCAGTGTGCTCTTCTGGAAAAGGAGAAGGCTGGACCCAGTGCCCTGGAAGACTTCTCCCAGCTTTGACATGTTTCAGGCCGCTGGTGGGAGAAGAAGGGGGTGGGTGGACAAGGCTGGAGGAAGGGGACAGGGAGCCCCTTTGGCCTTGGATGGAGGGGACCCAGCTACACTGCCTCTGTCTGTGCTTATCAGCCCCCAAGATGCTGCCAGCTGACAACTCGGACAGCCCTTTCCTAGAAAGTTACAGGACGCCACAAACCAGTCTTTTGGAGGTGCTGACCCATGGTAGCCTGGGTGTGGCTGGTGCCCTGAGCCTCCTCTTCCCTGCCTAAGCAGCTGCCTGGCCTCCGCCACCTCCTGCCCCTGTGAGGCCAGGATGGCATCGCCTCTCTGCCGTGCAGGGCACTAGCCTCGGAGAAGCCGTTTCTCTCATCGGGGAGGATGACTTGCTTTAGGGGCCTTCCCCAGTAGCAGAGCTGGGCACGGGAGCCAGCCCCTTGAGCTTCCTTCCCTCTTGGCTGAAGGATGACTGTGTGCGTGATGACGTGCAGAGGGTACAAGCCCCTTTTTCTCTGGGGCTCCTTGTCCTGCGTGGTGGGACCAGTGGGGCTTCCTCCAGGGCTGGGTGCAATTTGCCCCAGGCCAGAGCAGATGTGCCCTAAAGCAGCTCCCACCCACCTGGCCACCAGGCAGATGTTTACCCTGACTGGCCACAGGGCAGATGGACATGCAACAAAGTGGGGTTTTCCGCTCTGGGTAGGGCCTGGTCTGCCTTGTGCCCCCAGGAAGGTTCTGGGCCCTTTCTGGTCCTCTGTCTCCCCGAGATCTCTAAGAATGGTTCAGCATGTGGTGGTGGAGGCTGAGAGCAGCCTCTTCTGCTGCCACCACCTGGGCCCCCTGACTTTCCAGAGGGCCCCTCGGAGGAAGTGGCAGAGGAGAAGAGCTACCAGTGTGAGCTCACAGTGGACGACGTCATGCCTGCTGTGAAGACAGTTATCCGCTCCGTCAGGTGAGACTGAGGGTGGCCTCCTCATGTGTCTGCCCCCCATGGATGCTCCCCCTCCAGAGCCTGCCCTCAGGGCCAGGCCTGGCCTAGCTCCCCGGCACGCCGCTGCTACTCGCCTGGCACCCTTGGCGGTGCTGGGCTGGCGAAGCCTCTGGAGTGTGGGTGGGATGGGAGGCGGCATATGGCTGCTCAGGTCTGGAGGGCTGGCTGGGTGGGGCGGTGGGCATAGGTCGCCATCACGGTCCCTCTCTCAGACCCGCAGTGTCCTCTCTGCTTCTCTCTCCTTTCTTCTGTCTCTCACTTTATATCTGTCTCTCTTCTCTTTATTTCTCTCTCTCTCTGGATGTGTCCAGCATCTGCCTGCCTCTCCCTGTGTCTCCGTCTCATGCGCTGTCTCCCTCCATCTCCGTGTCTCACTCTCATCCTCCTTCTGCCCCTGTGTCTTAGACTTTCTGTCTCTCCTTGGGTGGCTTGCCCTCAGCCTGTCTGTCTCCCCCAGGATTTCCTCTAGAGCAGTGCTTTTCAAACCACAGGTCACAACAGTTTGAAATCAACTTAGTGAAATCAATTTAGCAGGCTATGCATTAAAAAGAAGAGAACAGAATAGAAAATATTGGAATCCATCCCTTGGAGTAAGGATAAATAATGTTTATGAAACTTATGTTTCGGTTATGTATATGTGTGTACCGGTCTCTGATATAAAATGTATTTCTTATGGTGGGTTTGGTCAAAAGGTTCGAAAGCCCCTGCCCTACTGGCTGTCGCTGCCTTGACAATTAAGAGGGGACCAGTCTCCTGAGCCCTTTAGCCATGGCCCCGGCACGGATCTGCCCCCAAGCCCCTTGGAATGGAGTTCTGGCATGGTCTCTGTCCCCAGCCTGCAGCTCCAGCTCCAGACGCCCCCTTACTCCCCGGCCTTGCAGACCACCTCCTCTCTTCCCTGGCTGATGCACCTGCCCACAAGCCTCTTCCTTTTGTGTTCCTTTTAAAATTAGAGTCAACTGGACACCCCTCCCCTGAGAGTCTGAGGCCTCTCCCCATCCTCTTTTTACACATCCTGTCTCTCCCCTCCAAGTGACCAGCTTCTGGAACACACTGCCTGAGCTGCCACCTGGCTCAGGTCAGCTCTCCTTAGCCATCCCACAGACCCCTCACACCCATCATGCCCCAAACCTGCTCCTCCTCCTGTGTGGTGCAGTGGCGGGACCATCCACTCTGTCACTCAAGCCATGGGAGTCATCCTGGACTCTACTCAGAGCCTCTCAGTCCCACGTCCTGAATTGCTCAAAGCTGTTTTTTGTCTCTGCCCCACGGCCCCCTCCCAGCTCAGGCCCATCCCCGGGAGCTGATCTTCCTGCCCAAGACTCCGCCCCTCCAGGCTTCCCCACACAGGCTGGCAGAACAGTCATGCTAAAGCAGAGTAAACCACATGCCCCCTTCCCCACCACCCTACCTTCCCATGGCCCAATCTCCGCCAGGAATTCAGGGCTCTTCAGAGTACCCCTTCCCAGGCCCCTTCCCAAGGCCAGTCTCTTTCCCTGTCTTCTTATACTGCCCCCTCCCCGCCCCGGTGGATTAATCCCTTGCCTTCACATCCTGTTCTGACTACTTTGAACTGACTGACTCCCACACCTCCATGCCTGTCTGTGTGCAGAAAGCCACCCTTCATCCCTGTCCTCTTGCCAGGGCACTGGGAAGTATCACTCCCAAGACTTGTCCCCTGACCTCCCTTCTATGGTCCCCAGCCCTCTTCTCCATTCCTTGACATGGCCCTTGTTACCCCATAATTATCTACATCCTCTCCATCTCCCACCCCAGGCCTGGGTCCGGATCTGATGCCCCTTTGAGGGCCCAGGGTCCAGCATAGTGGTGCTAACAAGCAACTGTGGAGTGAATGCAGAAATGTCTTCCCCCAAGCTGTCACCATCAACAGTGTGCACAGATGTCTGCCCTGTGTCCCACCTAGCAGAGGGAGACCAGGCCAGTCCCTGCCCGCCGAGGCTAATGCGCCCGCAGACACAGGCACATGAGAAAATACCCAGCATACCTACAGAGGGCGCAGGGGTGGGAGCCGGGTAGCGGGGAGGGAGGCTGGGAGACCCAGCAGAGGCTGTGTGCAGTGGCCCAAGCAGGAGGTGCCCTGGTGACAAGCGGGTAGCAAAGGGACAGAGAGGGGGTTGGAAATGAATCCCTTCCCTCTGAGACCCCCTCTCCCAACAGGATCCTGAAGTTCCTGGTGGCCAAAAGGAAATTCAAGGAGACGCTGCGACCGTACGACGTGAAGGACGTCATCGAGCAGTACTCGGCAGGGCACCTGGACATGCTAGGCCGGATCAAGAGCCTGCAGGCTCGGTGGGTGGCCCGCCCCGCATGGGGTGGGGGGCGGCAGGGAGGTGGGGACCCTAACCCCCGCACGAGGTCTGCGGGCGGGAGACCCTCCGCGGCGCCGAACGGAGCCCCGAGCGCCCCCTAGGGCCTGCTGCGGCCCCTGGCATTTCTGGCAAGGGCCCTGGCTTGCCCCACGCCTGAGGCCAGACGCTGCACTTGTCTTCACCCTGAAGAATAGCCTAGCCGCAGGTCCCCTGTGCGAATCCTCTGGACCTGCGCGTCTTAGGGGACATCTTTAGATGACTGTTTCCTGCTCCTAATATAATAGGTTTAAGATAATCAGTGACCTCCAGGGTTGGCCTGGTAGCGAGTGGTTAAGTTTGCTGCCTCTTCTTTCGTGCCCCGGCTCCGCAGGCTGGGATTCCGGGTCCTATGTGCTGCTCATCAAGCCACGCTGTGGCGGCGCCCCACATACAAAATAGAGGAAGACTGGCACAGATGTAAGCTCAGCAACAATCTTCCTTAAGCAAAAAGAGGAAGATTGGCAACAGGTGCTAGCTCAGCAACAATCTTCTTCACCAAAAAAAAAAAAAAAGTGACCTCCCACCTCCCAAGGGGGTAGGCAAATTGTCCTGAATGCTGCCCACCTCTTGCCTCTGGAATCCTCCAGCACCTCTCTCTCGGCCCAACATATAGGAAGAATTCTCATACCAAGACCTCAGTCACCTACACTGTACCCCTCTCCTCTGTGGCTGCATTCTCACTGCCCATTCATTCTCTCAAGAAAGAGTCATCGGGCATTTGTTACCCACCAGACAGCAGGGATATGGTGGAAAGCAAAGCAGAGTCCCTGCCCTCAGGGAGCTTCCCTTTCTGTGGAAGGAGAACAGATGATAAATAAATGAACCAGAATAAGTCAGATGATAAATGCTAAGGAGAAAAATAAGGCCTAGGGTGTCGGGGTTTGCAATTTTAAATAGGTGAAAAGGTGACATTTGAGAAAAAATTAAAGGTGAGGCAGCCAGCTCTGTGGCTGTTTAAATAGTTTCCAGAGGGAACAGCAGGTGCAAAGGCTTGGAGATTGGCAGGGGCTGGGGTGTGGTTTTAGGAGCAGCAGGGAGCCTCATGTGTCTGTTCTGGCGTGAGAGAAGTAGGAGCAGAGCTGAGAAGGCTAATGGCTCTTAGACTGTAAAAAGCATCGAAGGCCACTGTGAAGATGCTGGCCTTCATCCAGGGGGAGATGCAAGCACTGGGGGGTTTTGAGCAAAGGACCAAGAAGCTCCGAGTTATGCTATAAAAGGATCAACCTAGGTGCTGTGTTGAGAATGGTCTATGAGGGAGCTGGGGGGACACGAGGACCAGTGAGCAGGCTACTTCAGACGTCCAGGCAAGAGATGATGGGGACTTGGACCAGGGTGCCAGCAGTGGAGGTGGGGAGAAATGATCAGATTCTAGATATATTTTGAAGGTAGAGTTGACAGGGTCATCTGATGGGAGAGTCAAGGATGAGGCCAAGGTTTTTGATTTGAGCAAGAGGAAAGAGTTGTCGTTTATTGACACAGAGGAGGCAATGAGTAGAGCAAGTTTCGATCCAGAAAGTTGGGAGGTGTTGGGTTTGTGACGCCTATCAGACATCTAAATAGAGTGTGGATCTGGCAGTTAGAGGAATGTGGAGTTCGGGGGAGAGGTATAGGCTGGAGATACAGATTTGTGTCAAGAGCGTATAGAGGAATTGAAAATCTGAAACTGAAGACATCACTTAGCGAGTGAAAATAAATAGAGAAAAGAAGTCCCAGGAGTGAACCTTGGGTCCTGCAATGTTTAGAGGTTGTGGAGATAAAGAAGGAACCGGCAAAGGAGACTGGGAAGGAGCGGTCAGTGAGGAAGGATGGGAGACGGTGGTGTTTGGCAAGCCAAGAAGAAGGTGCAGGAAGAAGGGTGATCTGATGTGCGGAGCGCTGCTAATAGTCAAGTGTAATGAAGACTGAGAATTGATCATCGAATTTAGCAACATGGAGGTCATTTGGGATCTTGACGACAATAGTTTTGGTGAAATGGTGGGAATGAAAGCCTGATTGGGGTAGGTTTTAGAGAGAAAGGAAGGAGAGAAATTGTAGATAGAGAGTAGAGATAACACTTTCAAGAAGTTTGCCGTAAAGGAGAGCAGAAAAACAAGGTTAGGACCAGCTCCAGCTTGTCCCCCTCATAAGTCACCTTCCCACTTGTGTCTCTCCCTCTTTTCCCAGTCCACCATCTCCCACCGGTCCTCCCATCAGGCGGTGGTTTTGTCATGCTTGTGTGTGGTGCCTTTGCTCGGCCAGCTGGAAAACGCGCAACGCCGCAGCCCATTCCCTCCAGCCACCTCGGTCTCCACTGGCAGGGCAGAACGGCCCCCTCCCACCAGGGCAGGCTGTCTCCCCTCTCAGCAGGCAACCTCGAGTTCTTATGGGAGGGACGAGTGGCGTGTGTCTGGGCCCTTTAACGATTCCCTTTCCCCACAGGGTGGACCAGATTGTGGGCCGCGGCCCCGGGGACCGGAAGACCCGGGAGAAGGGCGACAAGCCCTCCGACTCGGAGGCGGTGGATGAAATCAGTATGATGGGACGCGTGGTCAAGGTGGAGAAGCAGGTGAGTGTGGGAGGGAGTTTCGCTGGTGTAGCAGCGCTAGCTGTCGACCGAGAAGCTTTGGAAGGCCGCGGGGACAAGCACCGGGGGAGGGTGCGCCCTTCAGAGCCGCTGGCCCGAGCACCGGGGGAAGCCCAAGCAGGGCCCGAGCAACCGAGCCCGGCAGAACCCCGCCCCACAGGTAAGCCCCGCCTCCCAGGAAGCCCGCCCACTCCTACTGAACCACCCGATAGACCCACCCTCTCCTGCCAAGCCCCGCCCTAGGTTGCTGTAGTCTAGCTAAGTCCAAGTCGCGCCTATTTCATTTAACCCCGCCTCTGTTTTCTCTTTCGGTCGCCCGGACTATCCCAAACAATCACAACTAAATTTCGGGGGGGCGCAGGAATAAGACCTAGTTTCCCAGCTTCGTCACGCCCTCCAGTCAAGCTCCGCCCTTCCTCGCGGACGAGCCGCGTCTCCCAGACACCCCCCTTCCCGGGAGAAGCCCTGCTGCCCAGCCGCGTCTCGTCCCCAGGTCCCGTCTATAGCACCGCCTGATCTCGCTCAAGCTCCGCCCACATCAGCTCCCTTCTCAAACCCCGCCTCCAGGCTCCCTCCGCCCTCGAATCCCGCCTCCAGTCCTGGTCAAGCCCCGCCCACACCCTCTCCACTCCTAAACCCCGCCTCCAGGCTCGCCCCGCCCCCAGCCCCGCTCAAGCCGCGCCCACATCCTCTCCCCTCCCAAGCCCCGCCTCCAGGCTCGCCCCGCCCCTACGTCCTGGCCAAGCCCCGCCTCCAGCCGCGCCCTGCCCGCAGGTGCAGTCCATCGAGCACAAGCTGGACCTGCTGTTGGGCTTCTATTCGCGCTGCCTGCGCTCCGGCACCTCGGCCAGCCTGGGCGCCGTGCAAGTGCCGCTCTTCGACCCCGACATCACCTCTGACTACCACAGCCCTGTGGACCACGAGGACATCTCCGCCTCCGCCCAGACGCTCAGCATCTCCCGCTCGGTCAGCACCAACATGGACTGAGGGGCTTCTCAGGGGCCGGGCAGCGCTCGGCCAGCCCCTCAGCCCGGCGCTCGGCCCCGCCCGCTGAGGCCTCCGGCTCCTCTCTTACTTGAACTGCTCCCGCGCGGGGAGAGAGGCCACACGCAGTATTGAACTGCCTGGGCGGGCGAGCTACCGCTGTGGGTGCCAGCGACTCGCCCCACCTCAGGAGTGCGAGATGCCAGGCCGCAGGGAGGGCAGCAGCGGCTGACCGCGACCTCTGGGCCCGCCAGAGCCCCGCGCGGCCCGCCTGGCAGGGGCACTGACCGGAAAGTGGGAGCGGGGCGCTGAGGCCAGGGCCCTGGCCCTGACCCAGCTTCCAGCTATGCAAGGTGAGGTGTCCGGCCGGCCTTCGGACAGAGCACGAAAGCCGTCCCGCCAAGTCCCCGCCCCACTTGAGGGTGGGCCCAAGGTGCCCCACAGGTACCCACAAGCACAGGACCCTGCCACAAGGCAGGTGGGCACCATATATGCAAACTATGTTAAATATGCAACTTTGGGGACCCCCATGGGGTCCCTCTGCCCCTCCCCCATGGGAGATGGGCCTCCAGCAGTAGCTGGTCTCAGGCTGCTTGGCCATGACCCCCAACCCCATTCTTTGGCATATCACCCCCTCCCCACCCAGCTTAGGGCCTCTTTCTCCCTTGCCTCCCCCAAGGGCAGTGCCTGGGCCTTCCTTCCCATCTGCAGGTGTCCCGCCCCAGCGGCTCCCTCTGCCTGCTGGATGTCCACTCCCCTCTTTGGCCCTGCAGACACCTTTAACAGCACAAGTTTCTGTATTCTCCCCTAAACCTCCCCCAGACGATGCTGCTGCAATCACACAAACATATCCCTTTAGTTTCCCCAGACATGCAGAAGGTCTCTCACACTCACACTGACACAATCACACACACTTAGAGACGTGAGCACAGAGCCATTCAGCCTCTCCCGGGCCTCTGCAGCTGATGCCAGTAAACTGGCCTTGCAAGGTGATGTCCACTACAAGGAGGCCCCCACTTCATCCAGGTGGGAGAGGGAGCTCTGAAGTGACCCCAGGTCTCTCTAGGCCCCACCCCAGAGCTTTACCCGCTCCCCTTCCTCAAGAGGATCTACTCCTCCGTGGTCCAGGAGCCCTAACTGCTGCCTTTGCCTGCCCCCGAGAGCCCTCTTTGGCGTCCCCACAGCACAACTCACGCCTAGGCCTTTGGGCCCCGACAGCACTGGAAAGATCCCGGGCCCTTCCCCAGGGTAGTTATCAAGCCTGCTTCTATCTAGGCTTGTCCCCTTTCTAGTCACTCTAACTCCCAGAGAAACTAATAATGCACCTAGCAACTCCCATTTTTCAGGCACCAGCTGTGCGTCTGGCGCTCATATGCACTGTCTCCCCTCCTGCCATGCCCCGCTCTTCACGTCAGTTGGCAGCCCCCATACTGGCATAAGCCCCCATCCACTCCAGACTCCCAGCACCTCTTTGGTATCCCTACCCCTTTGTCCCTCTTCTGCAAAGCCAATGCAGGTGGCAGGGGGGTGATGGGTAGTGGACCAAGGGGGACCATCTCTGGGGTGCCAGCGAACAGGGGCTCAGGCCCAGCTGCCTGCATCTTGTGACTGGGGACCTGCATGCACCAGCGCCAGGGCTGGGGTTGGGTCTTACTCAGCCCCATGGTGCCCAGCCTCTGCCCCAACAAGCCCTCTGCATGTGACCATCATGCCCTGGACAGAGCCTGTCCTGGCTCACTTCACCCGCACTACGCTGTCCTCAGAGAGCCACCCCTCTGCCCACTCAGAGACAGAGCTGTGGAGAGGGGCAGGAGAATGGGATTACCCTATGACCAAAGGAGACTTGGCAAGAAGCCTGCCCTCCTTCCACGATCAAGGTTCCCTACCAACCCGGTTCTCGGATATGCAAGTACCTCACTTTGTTAACTTATTAACTTATTGGTTTCATTAAAGTTTTCAGTAGGAGGTGGTTGGTCTTGGCTGTTCAGGGGCTGTGTGTTGGGGCTGGTCTGGGGGTGAGAAGATTTGAATTAGACAGGACTCTTGGTTGTCACAACAAAAACTCAACTCCTTACGGCTTAAGCAAGAAAATGAAACTTATTGGCCCAGATGACTAAAAAGTCCAGGGGAAAGATTTGGCTCCGTGCACTGCTACATCTGGGTGCTTAACTGTGTTGGGGATCTGTCTTCTATCTCAGCCTTCCTCTCAGGCAGGCTGACCTCTCATGGTGACCCCCAGCACTTGCAAATACATTTCCTTTTGGTGTAGCGCCCCAGTGGAAAGTGAGTGCCACTTTCCTGATAGTTTGTATCACTCAGAGTTCAGTCAGGAAAACAGAAACTACACTGGGTTTTTCAGCAAGGAGAATTTGCTGTAGGGGATGGGTCATACTGATGTACGTGGGCTGAAAGAACAAAAGAGAACCTTGAGAGAAGCTAGAGAACATCACAGCGGGAAGCAGCTTCCACTCCTAGAGCTGCAGGAATGTAGGGAAGAGGTGGGGTTAGCAGAACCTACAAGCTTGATTGGGGGAGCCCTGTAGTCGGGGGCTCAGAGGTCTGGAGAGGGGTGCTGTCTGGCCTGTGCCAGCACTGGCTAGGGGATACTATGAAGCTTGTCTGGGAGTGCAGCAAGAAAGCTGATGGCTTGGATCCACTGTTGCTACCACACTGTTGCTGATAAGGTTAGGAAGCAAAGGAAGAAGGTGGTCTCCTCTCCTGCTGCCCTTCAGTCTTGCCCTAGTGCCCCTTATTGTGAAAGCCGGCTGACAGGGGAGTAATGTGGTTTCCAGAGTCCCAGCCCCAGCATCACAGAGCAGAGCACAGAAGGCTGCCTTTGGAACTGAAAGACAATAATAGCTTAATAACTAGCACAATCTGCCCCTCTGGATGCTCAGTATCCACACACATCAATCCACACATATTTGAACCTCCATATAGCAACAGTAGCTCCCACTTAATAAGATGAAACTATCTTGCAAACAAATGAAGACACTCTAATCCTCTTCCCTAAAGTGGGAAAAACACGAAGTCCTGCCATCCAATAGATGTCTCCATCTCCAGCAGTTAGTCGTGGAATCCATATTTGGGTGATGTTAATTACTTCTCTAATTCAGTCATAATCCCGCCTGCAACGAAATACCAAACTGTAAAGTTAGCGATCACTTGCAATCTTTATATAATAAAATGATAGGGGGAAAGGAGGAAGGAAGAAAAAATTATGTAATAAGACACATACAACAGGCAAGGAAGAAAATATGCATAGCTGCAATGGACCTTCTGGTAACTGGTCAGAGTTCCATTGTTGATCTCTGTATATCTATATCTGTCTCTCTCTTTCTCCCACTGCCCTTCTGTGTTCCCTTTACCCTCAGCCAGGGCCTCAGCTGGTTAGGCTTCTTTACGTGGTGGAGTGACCCAAAGAATCATTCCTGACAGATCTGAATCCTCAGTGGTCCTGCCCGGTTTCGGGTGCCATAGGTTTTCATTGACTTTTACCATGGTACATGGAAGTGCTAAGAGGGACCCTAGAGAATCCCCCAGGTTCTAGACGTGGTCCTCCTCACCCTTGTTGTGTGGCAGCATCCCAATTTCCCCTTGGGAATGAAGACCAGTCAGGCAGCCAGTACCTTAACTCTTTCTTTTCCTGTTGGTTTAGTGGCATGAGGAGCCCAAAATAGCAGTTAGGAATTTCAACTTCTAATTCAGTGAAACCTTGCTTCCCTTCCCTTGAGAACTAAGACCTCCAAACTAACAGAGCCCAACGCTGTGGGGACAAGAAGCAAAAGTTTTGTCAGTGGGTGTCGTGGCCTGAATAACAGCCACCCAAAGATACCAGGTCCTAATCTTTGAATTAGTCAAATGTTTCCTTATAAGGAAAAGAGATCTTTGTAGATATGATTAAGTTAATGATCTTGACATGGGGAGATCATCCTGGATTATCAGTGGGCCCTAAATCCAATTGCAAGTGGCCTTTTAAGAGAGAGGTGAAGATCTCACACACGAAAGAGGAGGAGACAATATGAATCAGGAGCAGAGGCTGGAGTAACGTGGCCACCGCAAAGGAATGATGGCAGCCAGCAGAAGCCGAGAGAGGCAAGGACCGGATTCTCTCCCGGAGCTCTGGAGGGTGTGTGGCCCTGCTGACACCTTGATTTTGGCCCAGCGAAGCTGATGTTGAACTTCTGTCCTCCAGAACTGTGAGAGAATAAAGTCTGATGTTTTAAGTCGCCAAGTTGATAGTAATTTGTTACGGCAGCCACAGGAAATTAATCCTGTGGGTTATTTGGTGTAATAGCGAGAGAAGCTGCTCTCACGACTTCCCTTTGGTTCCTGAACCCTATATTCTGGCTGTGTTAATGAGGATAAATGGCTGCCCCCTCCAGGATGGAAAGGATCCAGTGGAATGAACCTGGCACCAGTGGCTGGATGAATCCCTACAGAATGGCAATATATTGGGTGGTCAACATTTGTGTCTACTGATGGTAGGTTGGACGTACAGTGGTGGCATTAGCCAGATCAGCCTTGGTGAGGTAAACCCATATTGTTGAACCCATAAATAGTCGCCGTTCTTGCCACCATCACCATGCCGTAGAAGGGCATGTTGAGCAAGCACTGGAGGGACTGCAGAAGGAGGCGGATGGACATCCATGGGATGTGCCGTCTTAGCCATCGGATTATCGAGAGCCTCTTCCGCCGTGGATGCCCTTTGATGAGATTTCACTTGGGATGGAAGTACCTTCACACTCTGTGCCTATTTCTGAAAGTCCATCTGAAAACCTCTTCCCAAGTCTTCCTTATCACCAATCCTCCAATTCGGTGCTTTCTGAGTTCCTGAACATCCAGCCAAACCATTGGCCGCTGCTCAGAAACCATCACAGATCCATACTCCTTGTCACCTCTCAATCCAGGCAAAGTGGACAACCAAATGTATTGAAGGGGAGTAGGATTTAGCCAGGCATGGGAACTGGGTGGTGGTGAATGTTCCGGCTAGAGGGCATAGCATGTGTAAAGGTCCAGAGGCACCAAAGAGTGTGGTACATGAATGGAACTGAAAGAAGTCTCTGTGACTGGGCCCAGAGAGCAAGGGAGAGAGTGGAACAAGATGGGACTTTAGAATCAGACAGGGATCAAAGTTTGCGGGATTTCATAAATCGTTCCAAAGACAGAGGACTTAACCGTGAGGGCCGTGGGGGGGCCAATTAAAGATTTTGATGAGGGATCAAACCAGGATAGATTTGCATTTTAGAAAGTTTTCTTCCTAGGATGGAAGATGGATTTGAGGGAGCAAGTTTGGGTACAGGGAGACAAGTTGGGAGAGCCGGAGATGTTGGTAACCTGGACAAGTGCCCCAGCAGTTCACTAATTGAGTAAATGTCTACAGAGCACCTGCTGTCTGTCAGACCTGGCTCAGCACAATACACAGGCTGAACAGACACAGGAGACCCGGTTACGGCCCTGAGGTCATCCAGCCCCTGGAGGAAACAGATGCACAATTACCCAATGCACATGCCACTCTGTATCTTCTAAATTTGTCTGGCTCAGCAAGGAGAGTTTGCAGGTGGCTATGGGAGTCCCCAAACTGCCATCAGATGTGGTCTTGAGAGCAGATATAATTTTAGCTTAGTGTGTCATTTATCTATGGCTATGTAAATACTCACTCTAAAACTTAATAGCTTAAAACAACAACCGTTTTATTTACTCTTGATTCTGTGGGTCAGCAATTGGGGCTGGGCAGCTGAGCAGTTCTGCTGGTCTCACCTGGCATCGCCAGGTGCTTGTAGTCTTCTGGCATCTTGACTGGGGCTGGATGGTCTAAGATGGCCTCACTCATATGTCTGGTGTTTGGTGCTGGCTGTCAGCACCCTGGTTGGTCCACGGGTGGGATAGCTTGCCTCTGCTCCATGTGGCTTTCCATGCTCCAAGAGATTAGATGGGGCTTTTTCACATGACAAGAGGGCAAAAGCAGGAGACACACGGCCTCTTGAGGTCCAGGCTCAGGAGCTGCTCCAAGCAGCCTGGGATGCAATGCTGCAGGCGCTCATCTCACTTGGATGCTCTGGATCTGTTGCAATTTTTATGCTCTTGCAGATCAAAGAAGACCATTCTCTTATTTCTCAATTTAGATAACTTATTTTATGTACTTCATGTATTTCACCTTTGGAGAGTTCTAGTTGTTAAAACAACTTCTTGGTTTTTCCTCTGAGAGGTCGAGCAGCACATTTCCCCCTTCTACCCGCCTCTCGTGTGCAACAGGATTGTGACAGCTGCTCCCCTGGGATATTACTTTGCTGGGGCTGCCATAACAAATGCTACTGACTGGGTGCCTTGAACAACAGAAATGTATTGCCTCACCGTTCTGGAGGCTGGAAGGCCAAGATCTAGGAGTGAGCAGGGTTGGTTTCATTCTGAGGCCTCTCTCCTCGGCTTGTGGATGGCCGTTTTCTTCTAGTGTCTTCCCATGATTGTCTCGCTGTTCATGCATATGTCTGGCCTCTCTCTGTCTCTGCCTCTCTCTCTGTCCTAATCGCCTCTTCTCGTAAGGTCACCAGTCACATTGGATAGGGCCCGCCCTAACAACCCCATTTTAACCTAATCACCTCTTTAAAGGCCCTACCTCCAAGTACAGTAACATTTTGAGGTACTAGGGGTTAGAGCTTCAACATAGGAATTTGTGGGGGGCTCATAATTCAGCCCATAAAAGCTGGAGTCAGGGTTTGACCCTCCAACCTAGTCCCCTTTCAGCTGTAAGTGCACAGGGCTGAGAATCCATTCTGGGGCTTGCCCCATCTCAGCTGGACAGATGCAGACACGTGTCTAGACATCATGGAACCAAGTGGTTTGGAAACTTTGTTTTTTTTAGCCCCAGAACCTTTGCCACAACATAGCCTCTTTGGCATCCCACTATAAACGATAAAATCAATGCAGCTAAAAAATGGGGACCTCTCAAAGGTGGCCTCAGTTCT